GACATTGTTGTTGCAGCATTGAGTGAGCTGCCAGCCTTTCTAGTGGAGGAGGGAGGTCTGAACTCTGGCTTCATGATCGCACACTGCACGGCTGCTTCTCTGGGTGGGTTTATCATCTGTCATAAACCATGATATTCACAGAAGGAAAACATTATGCTTTTTTCTTCAAACATGTAAGGTCAATGACCTGGTGGACCAGAAATCTTCACCAGGGTATCTAGTGCTGTATCAGACACCTTTGGTGTTGGGTTACATTATGTAGCAAGTTGCAGGACAGAGCTGGAGAGGCTACTCACCATATATGTCTTTGATATCACACAATCATGTTATAGTGCTGACACAATATTGTCTAAATTTTGTATTTTGGCCATTTTATTTGATTCCTTTAACTGGTCACAAAAGGCAGGTTAGACTGTATCTTCATCTACAATTCTCCTTCAATTCTCCTCCACAGTATCAGAGAACAAGGTCCTGACCCACCCGTCTTCTGTGGACTCCCTGTCCACCAGCGCTGCTACCGAGGACCACGTGTCCATGGGCGGCTTCGCTGCTCGCAAGGCTCTGCAGGTCGTGGAACATGTGGAACAAGGTTGGCACAGTGTTCTAGATATTATGTGTTACTTCTTTGAGACATTCACAATTGTTCAGTCATGTACATTGTGAGTAAAACATGTACAAGTGACCACAGCTACATAAGGACCACCTGGCACCTGGCTATTGTGACCATATCTTGGTGGTCCCTTAGAACCCTGTCTATAGTGATACCTTAGTGGTAATACACAATACAAAATGATTTGTCAGCCAAAACCATGATACAATACTGGATAAACTATGTAACTTGAAGTGATTTTTCTACCCATCTGCCCACCCAATCATGTTTTCAAGAGTATGAAACCTTGTACAGCCCTTGTTTGATGTTAACAAACATAATGTTGGGGATTTCTTCCCCTCAGTCCTTGCGATCGAGCTGCTGGCAGCGTGCCAGGCTATCGAGTTCCTGCGGCCGCTCCACACCACCGTACCGCTGGAGAAGGTGTACGACCTGGTCAGAAATGTGGCAGGGTGAGGGATTACACAAATTATTACATGGCCAGAAATCAAAAGTAACCATGTCTTAATATAAAGCAAGTTTGAACTGTAATTTCCAACACAAGAAATTGGAAATGCTCATTCCCTGACAAAAACTGGAGTTGAACAGTAAAAAATTTGGGTCTCATTTCTTGTGTTAGAAACTACACTTTGCTTCATAAACTTGAGTAAATGTGTGTTCTGTTCTGTTTGTCCAGCCCCTGGGACAAGGATCGCTTCATGTCGCCTGACATTGACGCAGTCACCAGGCTGTTGCGGGATGGGGAGGTAAGATTGTGTGTGCCAAGTTTAAAAAAAAACTCTGTTGCAGCTTGTGTTTGCACTGAAGTCCCTTCACAGTACATGTAGTTGTGTTTAATTGCAGCCATCCCAAATAGTGTTGATATTTTAGTTCTTTGCACATATTGTACATATTGTATTTTAGCATGAATGGTAGCATGTGTTATTTTGCTGGGGGTACAGTTCACTGAAGGACTGTCACTATTGCAGAATCATCCTGTCCTTTTTTCATCATTTTTTTTTTCACACACATTTTGCTGTAGGCTTGGGAAACTGTGAAACCTTACCTGGATGAGTACAAGAGAGAGGTAGTAGATCTAGAGAATCATAGGGTGACAATATGGGGTGTTTTTCTAGTTTTCATTTTTTCATGGCCAATGTGCTTCTTTTTTTAAATCGGCCATACAAATCTAACAAGTTGCTTAACAGAACTCTTTATTATTGGGGGCTGTGTCCTGAAGTAGTATGAATTTGTTATGAGAAGCAGTATTGTTCGATTTGTATGCTCTTGCATCACGCCCTTTCTCCTTGGTGACCCTCAGGTTTTGGTCAGCTTTTAGTTGAAGGAAAGGCCAGGTGTTTCTCTGGGCAGTGGTAACTCACTGTCACTGTTGGGAATGGTGAAGTTATCATATACTTGATAGCTTATTCTATTGAGTACTAACGGCCAAGGGCTCTTTGTGCTGTTCTTAACCCTCATACACAAGTTTATATATAAAAGGTGGGTTTTTTTTATGAGACAAGAACTCAGACCTCATATACAGACGAGGGCTCTAGCCAGCACCTGTTTTTCTGTCAATATTGCAGGAACTCTGCGGTGTGTGGCAGAAAAAAAAAATGAAACAAATGCCTCTACTTTTGAAGAAAATCAACAAAAAAACATTCAAACCACTCTCAACCCATGATTTGCTTCTCAAAATGCAGGAAATTGCATTTTGGAAGGCTTGAAAATCCTAAATTTCCAAGGGCATCATGCCTAGATTGTGAGCGCCTTCGCCCAGACTTAGTCACCAGCCTAGGCAGCTTAGTCACCAGCCTAGGCAGCTTAGTCACCAGCCTAGAAAAAATTCCAGCAGGCTAGAGCCCTGATGCAGACTACAACCAGGACTACAACAAGTAGGTCCTTTCTAACCCTGCCGTCCGTTTTCCATCGCAGGTTTGGGGAGCGGCCAAGCCGTACCTGGACGACTTCCACGAGCGTGAGGTCAAGGAGCTGAGGCTGGGGTCTCCCACCAGTAGTTACCTCTCAAACCTGCCTCTACATCAGCTCAGGATGGGCCCCTGAACGCCTGGAGGAGACCTAGTTGTACACTAGGAATGTCTCCAATACTCTACAACAAAGCTTGGACAAAAACATCTCGCAAGAGAAAATTTTACCTTTTTTCTGTTATTTTTGTTGGTTCTGTACTTACTTGGACAGTATAAACTGATGTTTAAGTTGTACATTCATGTGTACAATGTGTTTTTAAAGCATACAAAATGTCTTCAGAAAATTCTTGAAGAGAACTGAAAGGCTAATCCAATGGTTGACTCTCTGAATACACTGAGGATAGTTTTGTGAGTTCATTTGAATTCTTTTAACATTAAAAAAGATCTCAACAGTGTATGAGAGCACCATGTTAATGTTCTACAAAGGAAAAATATTGTCATCTCTACCATTTTGTAATAACCTGTTTTGCTGTCAATTGTTGATGTACTGTGAAGAATTTTCCAGAAATATTTTCATTAGGTATTAAGACATCCAGGTAACTTCCCTTATACCTCAGTTTCTCACACATTATGTACTAGTAACTTGTACTTAGTAATACAAATACTTGAATGTATGAATAGAAAATGGTGCATTACACTTGAGAACTGTGTAGCTGGGGACAGTAAAAGTATTGAAACTCAGATAAAAATCTGATCATGCTGCTAGTAATATTGCGATAATCACTGCAAAATGTAGAAGCAATACATGTACATGATGTACATGTAATTACTAGTATGATAATATAAGCCATGCTTATACATTGCTGCAAAATTGTGCTTCTATTTTGTGATAAAATTCTACACTATCGAGCTTGCAAGGTACTGCTATTGTCCCACACTACCTTCTCTTTGAGAGAACATTTTTCTCTACCACGTAGGAAAAATAAGCAATCAGCAAAGTAGGGAAAAAGCTTGAAACAAACTGCAAAGTAGGAAAAAAAGCTTCAAACCATCAGCAAAGTAGACAATATGGTCTGTCATCATGACAAATCCTTGTACATGTACTAAAATATTGGCAGTTGGATGTTATAGGTATGAAGTAGGTATACGTGTTGTGTATATACATGTAGGACGTAGGAGTTTTGCCTTACAGTATTTGCCTTCTGAATGAACTTGATGTGCGAAAGCCAGAGTCAAAGCAAGACAGTACATGTAGCTTGACTGAGTGTGAAACTTAGAAACATGGGAAGGATGAATGGGAGTGTATGAGATGAAAATCAAGGCTATCAAAGAGGAAGATGACAATGTACCAAGTTGAGGAGAATGGTGTGTGTTGTATTGGGTGTTAACATTATTGATCACTTAATAGTGCACCAATACTATACAATATTCTATTTTGTGCATGAATGTATTCTCTACCATTATAAATCAATGCAAACGTAGTTGCGACACTGAGCCATCAGCAAACATTGAAAAACTTCACAGTAGTAGGTGTTTTCAAAATTTAATGTTAAAATACAGTCTACAATGTCTGTATGGCTTAAAACTCAACCTGAATGCAACAAGAATTGTACAGAGAATACTATCTGTAACAGCCAATGAAATCACAACTCATGTTTGTGGATGTCAAAATTGACATCAGGACTGCTTGACCAATCAGAATGCCTGAGAAATGGGACAAGCTGATTGGTTGGATATCTATGCATTATAATGGTAAGCTCTTGTTGTGTTCAAACCTTCCCTAGATGTCTAAGCCATTGAAAGCTTTATGAGCCGTAGCCACTTTCAAGGGAACCAATTCATGCATATACATGTACCGGGGTATGTAGAGAAACTAGGGATCATAATTCATATTAAATGTAGAATTCTAATCTTGAGTTGTGTATGGTTTAAGGTTGAATTGTCTGTTGGGACTGCATCAAAATAAAACCATGACTACAAGATTTATTACACCTTTGTCTTCTTGTTTGCAACACTTTAGATTTCCAAAGTCTTCAGCTTGAGTGTGGTGCTGAACCTACTTTATAACCTCACCTCCCATTGGTTGTGTCTTTGTAGGGCAGGGCTTATTTAATCATGAGCCAATGAGCATTTAGGATTCCAGTTTACAATTTTCACTTTTTTTGCACCACCACCAACGCTGGTCGCACCAGGGGCAACAGCCTTTCTCCTGGATGTTTTGCCCCACAAGAGGTCCAGTATGACATAGATGTCAGGGCTAGAAATACTTTTTTCCGCATACCTGCACTGCACCGTTCTAACCTTTGAACATCAAACTCTAAACATTGTTTAAAGCTATCTAATGATAATGCCCCTACTGTACTTGGTGACAGTGAGCTCCACTCTGCGATAGTTTTAGGAAAGATGCGGATGTAGAGTCTGTCATGCTGCACTGTGGATGACCTCCCCCTTCTTAACCACATACTTGATGAGATGGTCGTGACCTGCCAGCTGATAGATCAGGTGTTCCCACCTGGGAGGACAGAGTTTAAAGGGTAAAGGTTAAAAGGGAAATGTATAGACCAAAATAAAACATGCAGATTTTGTTCACACCAACCTGTAATAAGAACAAATTGTTAAGTACAAAAGACAGACCTGTGGGTTGTATTATCAACTGACAAACATTCTACTAAGCACATGTATGGAGGATACCAGTAGTACATATATTTACCTTAACAATACAATTCTAATAACAGTAATTTGATGGTTTGATGTCATCCATAAATAAATCACTGACATACAAAAGCTGAATTAATAATTCTTAAAACAAAATTTCTGAAAAACAATTTTATGGAAGGACAATCATTCACTTATGTCCCAAATAATGCAAATGTATGGCTGTTCCTTCTTGGAATTCCTTTTCCTAGTATTCCAGTCTTACCTTGGAGCGTCGATGATGACCAGGTCTCCCACTTTCCCCACCTCGAGTGACCCGTGGGTCTCCGCCCTCCCTAGCGACGCCGCTGCATTTATCGTGGCAGCCGCTAGGGACTCGTTCATCGACATGCGGAAGTTCACACAGGCCAGGTGCATCGTCATTGGCTGAAATACAAAACTTTTTCATCACTTTCTCATAAAAGGGAAGGCATTTTTATCCAAATATTGAGGTAAAGTCCTTTTAAAAAGTTGATACGCAATACACAAATGTATTTTGAGCTGTCAACCTAGACATAATTAGCTACTACTACTTCATTCTTCTGAAAGATTAAAGAATGCTCCAATCCAGAGCTGTCACAAAAAATTATTAACTGTGACATACTGTACCCACCATGGATAGACAGAAGGCGTTTGGGTTGAAGTCGCTTCCCAGGGCAACCACCACGCCGCTGTCAATCATCTTTCTGGCAGGGGGAGGAGTCAGCCTGGAACACAGGTCACAAGGTCAACTTTTCTACTTAAAACATTCCTATATCAAAGATGGATCCATTATTTCACTACTATAACATGCATAGTAGCATGCAATGGATGATGGTACTGCGATGCAGAGCCCATTACACTCTACCCCCTAAAGTTAGTTACCCATTTTACACCTGTGTGGAGTGAGGAAAGTTGTGTGGAGTGAGGAGAGTGCCTTTCCCAAGAACACGAAATGGAAATGCCAGGGATCGAACCCGTGACCTCTCGATCTCATGTCCACTGGCCTCACCACTCGGCCATTCTGCGCCACCGTATAGTAACGTATACCACAGTTACCTGAGGATATAAGCAGTTGTAGGTAGAATGACCGCCACAGATCCAGAGTCAGCCATGGCCTTGATGCCAGCATCACTGATCTCCTCCAGGTGACTGATGGCTCGAGCCTTCAGCTCAGCACCCAACTAGTATACCAGGACAAATCAAGACCCTAAGTTACTTACATGTGTGTGTTAAGGATACTTGACTATATATATATGCTCATGTAAACACATAGATAGCTTCACAATTTTTCTTTTCTGTATCAGACACTGTCTGTACTTTTATTGCCAGTATGACTGCCCTTTGGCATCAATTACAAAAGGATTTGAATGCCTTTTGAAATGCAAGAATGTTGTCTTCTGGACCTGTTGCCAAAATCTTAAGTTTAAGATGTCTGAGAAGAAAGGGAATTCAAATTGGCCTTAGCCTTGTAGAGTTATGTGAACACAGGCTAATGAGTGAGTACATGATCTTTAATCATACCTCAGCTGAGTTCATGGGATGGAGTTCATCACCGTGGAAGTTGATGGCTAAACCTGTCTCCACACCGGCCTGGAGAATTCTCCTGGAATGATGGAAAAACAACCCTTGATCTTCAAGATTGCAAGACCTACAAAATATCACCATTTGACCACGACAAACTAGTAGGCCAAACACTTGCTCCTTTCCATCCCTACGTCTCATTTGTGTTTATATTGTATTCAAAATTTTTTAATCTACAGTTGGGAGGAGTGATGCTACATATGTGTGATTACCATATCAAAATTTCCTGGACAAAATCCAGATCTTTGCCAAATAACTCCATTGTATCATTACCTTGTGGAGTCCACATCAAAGACGCCCTTCTCACAGAACACGTCAATGTTGTCCACCTCCAGGTCACCTGACTTCATCAACTCTCGTAACCGTGGCAACTGTACGTTGATTACATCATCAGTGGCCTGCTCCATGGTGCTACCCCTACAGAAACCAAATAAGGAAAATGAGTAATTACTGTGGTACTGAGCGGGAACTGACCTTGGTACTGAATGCGCGAAACAGAAATTACTCCACAAAAAGTATGTGTGCAACGTACAAAATACTGGCCTCGGTACTGAGCGTGCTCCACAGAAGGTACTGACCTTGGTACTGAGTGTGCTCCACAGCAGGTACTGACCTTGATACTGAGTGTGCTCCACAGCAGGTACTGACCTTGGTACTGAGTGTGCTCCACTGAAGGCACTGGCCTTGGTACTGAGTGTGCTCCACAGCAGGTACTGACCTTGGTACTGAGTGTGCTCCACAGAAGGTACTGGATATCTCGATGGGCAGTTCTCTCTTGGCTCTCTGTATAACCCTCAACATCTTCATCTCTGTTTCTACCTCCAACCCATATCTGTAAAGAATTAAAGACACAACTACTAACTTTTCACACTTCACACATAATCCCCTTCAACACTGACACTGTGAGATGATTTGTTAGCAGAGGAATGTGAAGACTATAGTCATTGATTGTGTTCTGAATAAAGACACTGTCTTACCCACTCTTACACTCCACCAGTGTGGTGCCTGCCCGGACCATCCGCAGCAGTCTGTCCCTGAACAGTGTGTACAGCTCGTCCTCCGAGGCGCGCCGCGTGTGCTCCACGGTGAAGTTGATTCCTCCGCCGGCTTTGTGGACCTCCATATATGTGGCACCGGCCAACTGGGTCCAAGAATCAGAAAATATTTCAGAGTTGATAAAAGTCTTTACATCCAAGTCCATTCAAACACAATACAGGCATACTATACCATGTACCAGTATACAAACAAATCCTGTGTATGCAACTTGAAGTTGTACCTTCATGGCAAACTCGTGGACCCTGTCCCCTGCCCAGACTGGGTGGGTGTGGCCGTCAATCAGACCTGGAGTGGGTGAGAGTGTCAATTTTTATGTGATCTCAAACCAGTTAAGCTGAAATGAACAATGTATGCTACTTTGTATGAACAAAGCTGAAGTGGGAAGTGTAGATGTCAAGTTAGACCCAGTTTTTGCACAAGAAAATTTAGTTAATCCTTTGCTGAAAGGCAAATTTACAGTAATGTGACATACCAGGTAATATACTCATCCCAGCTGCATCTATGACTCTGTCAAACTTGGTGCTGCCATACTTCTGTTGTATGTCTGCATCATGTCCAACTGCCTCTATCAGTCCATTGCTGTAGGATACACACACATTTCAGCATTCAAGTTTCAACATAATGATTTTGATCAGAAACAAGAATTCAATGCTTTTGAGAATTTATTGTTTTTAGTCATTATAATGAATTTCTGGCCAACAGACTCACTGCCAAAACCTGCTGGCTCCAGGACAGCTCCCTGTGTCTGCAGTACCATAACAAGCCCTTGGGGGGCCAAAATCTAATCATTTCGAGATCTCAACAAGAAATATCAAGTCAGTCCATCAAAACCTTCTCAGACACACACACACGCCAATGCCACCGAAAACATAACATTCCTGGCGACGGTAATACTATAGCAAACAAACAAACAAACACTGAAACAGACAGGCAGACAAACAGACAGACCAAGGGCAAACAGACAAACAGACTAACCAACCTTCCGACGACCAGGCTGACCCCGTTGTCCCCGTCCTGTTCCAGCGAGGCGAGTGTTTTCATCTCCTCCCCGCGCAGCGCCCTCTCCCCCGCCCGGCACACCAGCACCGCCTGCCGCGCCCCGCGGACCAGCAGCTTACCTCCTGACATCCTCAACAATGCTGTAGGTGGCTGTCTTCTTGAAGACGACTAGAAAGGGAGAACTTGACCGCCAAAATGTCGACAATAACTTCACGTGGACATTTTCAGACACACCCCCAAATTTTCACGAAGTGGGCCAATGAAAATCGAGATAACAAACGGTGACTAAAAGAGACCTGGGTAGCCATTGGTCTATTTAGTTGTCTTAATTTTCAACCTTCAGAAATCAAATCTAGCGCAGATTCAACCCTTTGCATATTAAAGACTTGATTTAAAAAATGTACCGTTTGTTTTTACAGCAAATATTTTCTATGGCGAGGCCTGTGGCGAGGGACGGAAATTTTCCCAGGAAAAACTCACCTTTGACCTCCATCTCTTATTTACATAAAATGGCGTCTGCGCATTGCTCGTTGCTATGACCAACCTCGTTTTGGTATTGTTATGGTGGACACCAAATCAAAACTTGACGATCGGAGAGATTTTCTGTGACTTTTACGTCTTTTTAGGACAAAAAGAGGTAAGTTTGCAGTTCCAGACTAAATCAAATGATAGACAGACAATTATTAATCAGATTTATGACGATTGGTTTGTTAGAAAATGCTTTATTTGTGTATTTGATAAGCGTATGCTACTGGGCATCCCCTCAAAACTATGCCACTGTCATACTTCACACTTCATCGAAATAACTTTAAAGAGAATATAAACAGAAATGTGTATTGTGTTATTTTCGTGCTCACAGGTTTTGACACACAGACATGTCTACGGCGTCAAGACAGTCGTCGGCGGCATCGCCGGTCTCGGCAAATTCCAAGTCACGTAAGTTTTGTTTTGTTTGAAAATGTGTTTTGGGAGGGAGGGAGGGGGGGTGTTGATGTGTATTGGTGATTCACAAAGTAGGCACTATGGATGCTATGTAGTAATTTTTTTAGGGGGAGGAATAAATTAATTTACTGTAAGTCTCAGAATACAGTAAATTGTTTTACAGTTTTCGGGGCTTGATTTGACTCGAGGCATTTCAAGGAGGCATTTAATGTGACTAATAAAATTTGGAGCATAATTTTTTTTGAAACAGCTGTGAACAGGAGTACATTGTCATCGAGATAGAACACATTTTGAGTTCACAATGAAGGAAAAATGGGAACATAATCCACCAAAAATATTTCACAGTTTACAGTATTAGCTAATAACATGTTTCAAACTTTGACCTCCCTAGGGGCAGGGACGGCCTCACGACAGTCCGGACGTGTCACCTTCCCACAATCCCCGGGGTCCGGCGCAGGATCTCCCATGTCAGGTCAGAGCTGCTTGTGGTCATCACAAAGTCTCAAAGAATAAACTTTCATCGTAAAGCAATTAAGCGCTAAAATCACCCTTTGTTACATAACAACTTTGCAGGCACTGTGCAGGCCCTGATTATCATAATGAAGTGGGCAAATTATAACCTTCACTAACTTGTGGTTCCTGCAAGCTGTTACTCCATCTTCCGTTTGCTTAGTATACCTATTTGGTTGCCATGGAAACCCTTTGTCTAATAATTATTGGTTCATTGTTGTCCAATAATGAATTATCCTCATGTCAGTGGTAGGTCATATGAGGTGAGGATTAAGGTCAAATAAGGTGAATACTGCAACAATAACAATTCCATGAATGATTGGTGTCTCAAAATGAGTAGTTTTGTTGAAGTTCTGTTTTGTTTTGTAGCTGACATATACAAGTACATCGCTAACATTATACTCCTTCTTTTTAAACTGTAGAAGGCACACAGCTGGCCCCCGATCACAACCCCTTCACCATGCCTGTAGAGAATGACATCTTCATTCTCAGGGACAAGGAGAGACAGAAGAAGAAAGCGGTAAGTCCTACAATAGCTATTTTTCCAAGAAATGGTTATAGTGCATTTTCACTCTCAAAATCCATTGTCTATGATGAAGTTGGTAAGGTAAAAGGCAGTGGAAGGAGAGCAATGGGTTACGCTTTTCAATACTGTGCCCTGGACACAGTGGACTAAAAACCCACTGCCCTGACAGCATCAAAATGCTTTGGAACTATCTTTACATTTTATTGTCATAATAAGGTCTGAAATGTCTTCCACCCCAACAGGAGAGGGTAAAACAGAGGAATCTCCGTGTTCATGAGAAGACGACATACGCCACGCGGGTGAACGCCAAGACGGCGTCGATGCGGAAGGCGGTGATTGAGTCATCGGAGTCGGAGGATGAGCGGGAGGATGAGGACAAGGCCGTGGCTGTGAAGGAGGATCCCAGCTGGACCATCGCTGTCACCAGGGGTAAGGACATGTTGTTTTGATAATGATGGACAGCTAACTGACCAATGGCAGTTAGTGTTTCTTTAGGGGTAAGAACAGCACAATTATGCGAATGCTACCTTAAAATAAATGAGGAGTTCTGCCGAAGTTCCATGCACAATAGATTATGGGTTGAGCTAAGCTGACCAATAGCAGGGAGTATCTCATTTCGACGTTAGTGATATCAAATTAAAGTTGTTGTTTTCTTTCTTGTTCTGAGTAGACAGACATGTGGAGAAGGAAGACTTAGCCGAGTACATCAACAAGAAGAGAGAAATGTTCCTCGTACAGGTAACTTTGTTTTACTCAAAAGCTTTGTTGACTGTTTGATAATTGTTTTACACAGTGACTGTAAAATGCTGATCCACACTGATGCCTACAATACTGTCACAATCCCATAAACATATGCTATTTTAACCCCCGATGTTCCGTAGTACTCCCTGGGCGTGAAGCGAGACGAGATGCGGAAGCTTGAGGAGATCGCGGCGGCGGAGGAAAGGAAACTGGAGCTGGCGGAGCAGTACCTGGAGGAGGACGCCGCCATGTTTGACGAGTTTCTCAAGGAGAACGACAAGAACTCTGTGGAAGCCATCAAGATGTGAGGGAAAACTTTAAGATGTCTTAATCTCTTGAATACTGCAAAGTTTGTGACTCCTACATTTCTTGGCATAATCAAAAGTTTGCACTACATGTAGTATTTATGAGTTCACAGTTGACATGATACTAGTAGTAGAAAGAAGAAGTAGAAACACAATGTAAATGACATTCGTGGCATAGGTCTTTCTGAAAGAAACATGAGTTTAAAACCCTGCAATGAAATGAAAGTGCAAGACATAAAAATGTAGTCTTACCGGTAGATGTAATTTGAAATATGGGACATTTTATATAACATACAGGTACATGTATGTAGCACTAGTAGTAGCAAAAATGCTAAAGCAAGGAACAATTTTGTACAGTTTTTCGGTTCTTGATACACTAATTATTGAACATAGAGATCCTGTGTTCAGCATGTGACTGACCAGCTTTGTTATTTACTTACAGAGCGGAGTCTGAGACTAAGGCAAAGTTGGAGAAGGTGTCAGAGATCAAGAGGATCAACGGACAAATGATGGCCATTAAGAGGTAACATTTTCATGAATATCATTGTCTTTCTCAGCAATGGTTATTTTGTTGTGTGAGTTGCTATTGTAAATTCACTTCTACAGATATACAGTAATTTTGTATGATGTTACTGACAGAAATGTTGTTTTGTTTTTATCAGTGAAATTTCAAAGATGGAGGACACCCTGAAGGAATACCAACTCTACAAGAAGTTCCTGGACAGCGTGACTCCTCAGGTGGGTTCTTGGTATCCACTTACACCATTCCAAGGGTGTGGATGGGGTTTCTAAGCTACTGTATCTGTCCTTCTATCAATTTAGCTGTAATTTAAAATATTTTAACAATGAACTTTTATCAATAGGAGTACAAAGACAAGAAGGAGGCAGAACTTGAAGAGAAAAGGAAACAACTGAAGAAGGCGTCGGCAGCAAAGAAAAGAGCAAGTAAGATTTTCAAACAAACCTGTTGACATGATAATTGTGATTCTGCTCAAAACAATTTTAAGCAAGAGAAGTTTGCATCTTTGAGCTGGTGCATAAGGTTGCATCTGTAGGCTGTTGCATATTTGACAAGTTTTGCTGTGCTGTACTCATGCCTTGTGTGCCGTGCTGTGTGCATTTCACCCCAATAACACCGTACCCACATCTCAGCTGTGGTTTTGCTTGAACCACATGAGGAAGAAGCGATTTCCAGTACACCCAATCTGCTTAGTCCTCCCGGAGCCAGTTCCAATGGTAGACACTCATGGCCATCACCATTTCATTTCTCTGTCAAAGGGACTAAGGTTTTCATAACTGGAGAACTAGCCAAGGGTTTGGTGTATAATTAATTCTCATAATAAGTGGATTCATTGTTACAACTGGGCACTTACAACTAGTGAAAGGTGGAGGCACCTAACTTGTAAACTTTCCTTGTCTGGAATGTCCAGACAGGTTTTGTTCATGTCTCAGGGGCCTTTAACTTTGACATATTACCTGCAATGCATTATGCTACACATGGTATGCAGCTACAGTCATGTTTGCGTTACATTTGACGGACTTAGATAACGCAACGCTGTCGCAACGCAGCGATAACGCTGACGCAACGCAGCGGCAACGCTGACGCAACGCGATAACGCAACTTGCGGTAATTGACCCCCGGCCGCACGAATGCGTTACAGCGTTATTTAACCTGCTACCGAGTGCGCCATCGCGCTATTGACGCAACTATAATGAGCTGGATAGGGTTTCATGTTTGTTTGTCTACTTTGTCATTTAAATTTAGAAACAATACTGGGTGTTATGGCCTCCTTTCAGCGGTCATAGACATGCATGAGCGTTGGAATTGGATGGCAGGAATTAGTTGGATGTAAAAAAAAATGGTGTGAGGCATTTCCAATGAGGTTATTCATCAGCCTGTCTAAACATGTAACGCCCCCAAAATACGTTAGATATAGCAACAATAATTTCAACTACACTTCACCCTAACATGTCGCAAACAAAATATAGCAACTCCTCCTCCGCTACTTTTCCACACGGCAAGGTCAGACAATATTTGGTGTTGCCCCGGCGGCCCGGAATCTTACTTGTGCAGTCAAAAGCGTAATGAACCGGCGCATGTTGTCGATGATTTTTTTAACCATAGAACGCATAATTCAGCAACCAAAATTGTCAAAAGCTTAGGATATATCCCGCCAGCGAAATGGATCTTGTAAAGGAGCTGTCTTGTTTACCGTCGGTAAGCTCTGGGGTACTTTGTCGAATCGCTACCAGTCTGTAGAGAGTGCGCGGAGAGAACTCGGTTTGTGTGTGTATTCGGCTGACGAAATGATCTTTGTTTCACATTCGTTTCTTTTCGGTTCTTGTCGTCAGCGAATGAGTGTGTTTGGTATGCTCACGAGATTTGCCGATCTTCACCAGCAATTTTCTAAGGGGAGGAAAGATCACGATTATGGTAAAGGAAAACATCACATGATTGACTGCAGTCCCCTGCACTTGGCACAAAAACAACAACTTGTTGGAAAACAAAAAATAAAATAAAATTTTTGATCATAGTAATTTTTTTAAATTTTGAATTCGTGTATGTAACCATGGAGTTAAAAGGAACCTCTCTGTTGTAACACAGGAGACCTTTTCTCCTTAGAGTGAGACAGCTTGGCGCGACAGACCTGTCAACATTGATTGATGACGCCCGCCCGACACAACTTAGATCAAAGGCGGCGGCGGCCAGTTTGAATGTAGCAAACTCGTTTCACCAGGAATTCTCACGCTGGTGGATTCACAACATCACGCTGATAAAGAATCCAGAGCTGTGTCATGAATCTGACCAGATCGTCTGTATTTCTGCTATGCATGCTGTGATTTCACGCTGTACACGCATATTCAATGAATTCCTTTCTTTTGACAAAATATGACGGCGCGGAGTTGCAGCGGCTCTGCGTACCTATTTAACGGGTAACGTTACTTCTCATATGACTCCTCGATCAGTTTCAGCGACATTTTTCTACACGTGACGTTTCTTCGTTGAATGGGCTAAGCATTTCTGGGATAAGCTCGCAAAATGTGTATTGTAAACGAAACAGATAATAGGCTATTCAGCCAACAATGAACAAAAGGTGTGAAATAAACACTAATCCATTCGCCCATCCGTGCCACTACGATGTTGTTAATTAACTATTTTGCAAATGAAAGCGCCAAATTTCACGATCCAATCTCTAAATAACCCAACAGTTCAGTCAATAAACGAAATGGCGAAGCTGTATCAGTCCCGCCCCTGACAAAATACTTCTCTTTTTTTTGCAATATTTAAATGTTCTTTTGATGTGTTTTCAGGTTCATCCTCTAGTCTTTGATTGAGTTACGAGACTGTGCTGCGTGAAACATGTGCGGACTTTGCAGGATCAACAGGATTACATTCAAGTTTTTTCTTTAGTTTTGACGTTCGGTTATTGACTAGAAAGTTCCGTTTGGTTTTGACGTTGAACTTCGTTTGTTGACTAGAAAGTTCTTTTTCTTTCGTTTTCGTTCGAATGTTTTCCCCTGTATTTTGACGTTTGGTTGTTGACTACAGGGTTTTTTCTTTCGTTTTGACGTTAGGTCGTTGACTACGTTTTTTTTATCGTTTGAAGTAGATTGAAGTTCCCCAGTTTAGACGTTCGTTTGTTGACGTCTGTTGACTCAGTTTGATATGTTATTATTACGTTTTGGTCTTCTCAATTCCATTGAATTTTTTACTAACCACACTTTACTAACGCCGGATTTCGCACAACTAAGAACTCATATTATTAAAGCTAATACTAATATGTACCAGTTCATGGATATTTTAGGATACGTACACAGGTTATGTGATTCACGAGTAAGTGCTATTATATTTCATCAAAGAAAACGAGGGAATTGTTAGGAAATCTTCTTGTGGGAAGTGTTCTTGTCTATTTGATTACCGGAAGAAAACGGAAGAAATGTTGCGAATGAATGTAACATCTGAAAAATGCCGCACCGAACCCTTTCGGCCGAGATGTAATATAACAACGGATGGTTCGTGTGCCTAACTCAAAATAGATACATCACAAAAGTTTTTAAATATTTGCAACGGGACGATAAGATATTGAGGAATATAGTAACTGTTTACTTACCTTAGACAACACCAAAAGGACGATCACAAAGTAAACGATGGTCTAACTACATTATACCGGTAGAGTGACTTTGTCAGCTGGAAGGTTGTCCAACTTGGCAAAAGATGTCAGTTCAAGACATATGGCGCACGTTTGTCCGACGTATAATCTTGTATCACATTTTCAGCTAAGGGTGAGGTGTATTGTGTTTGATGTCCAACAAAATAATTGACACATGAACATGTGAAGAAAACGCCGTTAAACAGTAGTTTGTTGGGAAATTAATAGTTACGCGGTGTTTTCTAAAGCCGTCACACTTCAGATTGTTGGAAAAGCTTTCTGTAATATGTCAGAGTGTATAACATTCCAGTGTGTCATTACAGACAGCGGGTAAGTTGTAGAACGTTTGAAAATAACGTCCAATCAGAAATAATGATAACGCAGATTTGATACAATGCATTGGGAGCGTCTATTGAATTGCCTTTCATCGGAAAATCGAGAGTTCCGTATCATTCTTGAAAACTGAGAACACGACAGATCCATATAAATGCATATTGTTATACAAGAAATATAACATCCTAGTACATAACTAAAAGAAAGAGTATTTTGTGGAGGATTTAAAAAAATGACGTCTATATAAAAAGATTGGCAGCGCAGTTGAATTGATGTCCTGATAGTATGTATTCCAAATGGTCTCGTATTGGAAAATTTATGGTTCCGTATTGCTTACTAAAGTTTACAACATTGTAGGGGGATGTAAAACTTGTTGTAACCTCACTAGATAAACAGAATTTTAGTGTTATATTTCACGCTAAGGTTGAGTTGCAAAGCGTTTAAAATTTCCGTCCAAACTGAAGCATTGACAGCGCGGATTTACTAGAACACGTAAGGAAACGTTCGTCTTCAATAGACATTTCAATAGTTCCGTGTTGCTTTATTAAACCCAGAGCATTTTAGGACTTTTCAAGAAGCCTTGTTTGATATGGCAATAATAGTACTCTAGTAAATCGTTTTAAAACGGATGGTGTGGAGGATTTTAAAAAAGACTACAAGTAGGAAGATTCACATGCATGCAGCGCAATGGAAAGGGCAATGGGCCGAAACACGTTCCCTGAACGGTCTCATGCTGGAAAGTTGATGGGTCCGTGTGTTTTCTGAAGTTAAGAACACAGCTGGCAGTAGCAAAAAACATCTTCTACTATCCAAAGATAAACATGATTCTAGTACCATAAAATACGGGGGTATTGTAGAGCGTTTGAAAATATAATCAGAAGAAAAATTATTGACAGCTTGGGTTTATAGAAAACGTACTGAAAATGTCGACGTCTGTTGACGTCGACATTTCTTCTTCGCAAAAGTGATGGTTCCGTGTTGATTTCTAAAAGCAGGAACACCGGTTCCTCAGACCCTCGAAAGAAGCATTCTGTAATATGGCATGGTGTTGTCGTATATAATGATAGACAACGTGTGACTTGTAATGCGTCTGTAAATGATGTCGAACCGGAATATTGACAGTGCGGGTTTCATTCACAGCGTGAAATCATCCATTAACCTGCCTTTTGTTTGAAAATTGATGGTTTCGTGTTGTTTTCTTAAACTGAGAACACTGTGGACCCCTCAAAAACCTTGGTCTAGCATGGCAAGATATATAGCATTCTAGTAAATCGTTGTTAAATGGATGGTGTGTGGAGGATTTGAAAAGAAAAGACTAGAAATAGGAAGCTTTACATGTATATCCCGCAATGCGAACGGAATGAATACGCCCGCCGGAACAGTTTTGTAGGATAAATTGTCTCACATTGGAAAGTTGATGGTTCCGTGTATTTTTCTGAAGTTAAAGACACATTGATAGAAAAAAGGAATTGTTGTAGCATGAAAAGCTATACGAAATTCTTGCATAATAAAGTTGGCTACGGAGAAGTTGTAGACTGTTTGGAAATAAAATCCGAACATCGGAACAGAAATATTGACAGCGTGGGTTTTATAGAACGCGTACGAAAACGTGTTGAATACTAGTAGCCTTTTTTGCAAAAATGAAAGTTCCGTGTTGTTTTCTCAAACCGACAACGCCGTAGGGCCTTACAAAGCTTTCTGTAATCTGACATGGTAAGTAGCATGTTAGTATATTATTTTAGGCAACGGGTGACTTGTAATGTGCTTGTAAATGATGTCCGAACTGAAGTATTGACGGTTGCATCGTATGAATACGCCTATTGAACAGCCTTTTTGCAAACAAAATAGTTCCGTGTCGTTTTCCAAAACACCTTATGCCCTTGAAAAGGCTGTCTGTAATATGGCATGGTAAGTAGCATACAAGCACTAGTTAGTATATCATAGGCAAAGGATGACTTGTAATGTGCTTGAAATTGACGACCGAACCGAAATGTTGACAGCGCTGATTTCATACATGGTATGAGGACGCCTGTTGAAATTTTTTTGCTAAAATTTTAGTTCCGTGTTATTTTCTAAAACCGAAAACGCCTAACGTCCGTAAAAAGTATTTCTGTAATATGCATAATATATAGGATTTTAGTATGTCATCATAGGTAACTGTTGACTTGTAAACCTTTGGTACATGGCGTCCGAACCGAAATATGGACAGCGCGGGTTTCATTCACAGCGCATGAAAACGTCCATTGACGTCCTGCCTTATGTGAAAATTGATGGTTTCGTGTTGTTTTCCAAAACCGAGAACACCTTATGCCCCTGAAAACGCTTTCTGTAATATGGCATGGTAAGTAGCATACAAGTATATTATAGGCAAAGGATGACTTGTATATAAAGGTACTTGAAATTGACGACCGAACTGAAATACTGACGGAGCAGGTTTCATTACATGGCATAAGCACGCCTGTTGACCTTTTTTTGCAGAAACTGTAGTTCCGTGTTGTTTTCTAAAGCCGACAACGTCTTAATCGCTTGAAAAGTTTTCTGTAATATGGCATAATATGTGGTATTCTAGTATGTCATCATAGGCAACTGTTGACTTGTAAAACGTTGGTACATGGCGTCCGAGAGAGACAGAGAGAGACCGCTGAAAGGGAGCTGGTGTTGTATGGTGTACATCTTGGCGAACGGTCCCGCATTGGGAAGTTGTTGCAATTGCTTGCGAGTTTTTTTCCAGCGTTATGGACAGTTGGAAGTAGAAAAACTTGTAACATCGCGAGTCATCGTCAGCAAGTCCCGGACCCTCTGGCATGAGGATGGAACAAGGTAAAGGTTACAACACAAGATTTTCAGGATTCTAGTGTGATATTATAGGCTACGGGTAAGTTGTAGAGCATTTGTAATCTCCAAGCAGATCCCTATCGGTGGCAAAAAAGACAGTATCAAATTGGCCAGGCAGTATCCATTGGCCAGAGAAGCTCCATTAGCCACCGACGGGGATCAGAACAAAAAATAAACGGCCATATATAAAAAGGTAACGATAATTCCCCAAAACCTCTGCTTGGAGAGTAGAGCATTTGTCAAAAACGAAGAAGACGTGAGAAGCCCCGAAGTTATTCCCAGTCCGGTCTGCTGGCATTTTTATACGTACTAGACTACTAATACATGTAGTATATTTAAGGTGGAAATTCTGAAAGGTAGTAACGGATGCAGATAAGTTTAAATTAAGCAGTGAAAATAAAAGTATGGGTTACGTGTAAGGATTTTTGTAAAGATCACATACATGCAATAACTTCTAGTACAATGTATACCGTTTGATTGATATTTAAACCTTTTTTTTACAATCAATCAATCAATCATCCACGGGCTTCATGGTAGAAGCGTGGCGGCCGTAGACAGCTGTCTCCAGAGGCTTCTATCAGCAGCGAGGACTCTCCAGGAGTCCGTGGTGACGCCCACTCTCCTCAGGAAGTCGAAGGGCAGATCCTCCCATCGCCTTCTGGGACGACCTCTGGGGCGCTTTCACGTGGGGTCAGGTTCAGCAGTGACCAGTTTACAATCTTCTAGTTCATTTGTCCGACGTGTCCTATGTATAGCTTTTTTCGTTTCTTGTATGTATCATACTTAAGAATATCGTTAACATCGTTTCATTTTAAGCTTCAATGTTATGAAATTGTTAGTTGTGTGAAAGCCAGTTAGTAGTAGTAAAGTTTCGTTAGTAAAAACTTATATGGAATAGATAACACAAAAACGTAATAAATACATAACAAATCGGTGTCAACAGACGTCAACAAACCAACGTCAAACGAAATAAAAAATCTAGTCAACAACCGAACGTCAAACGAAACGGAACAAAAAACTTGCTATCCAACAACCGAACGTCAAACCAAACGGAACAAAAAAATTGCTAGTCAACAACCGAACGTCAAAATGGAACAAATGAGAAAAAAATGAAAGTAATCCTGTTATGTTAATCCTGCAAAGTCAGCAAATGTTGCACACAGCACAGTCTCGTAACTCGATCACAAAGAGGATGAACCTGAAAAACATATCACGGAAATAATTAAAATATTTATACGAAATATATATTTTTTACGTCTCCAGCCGTCGCACCTTGCTAAATTTTCTAATGCTTTAGCCCTAGTCCTACCAAATGGATGCGAGAAACGAAATTAAGTTAAGGCACCTTTTTTCCAAATACTATGCAGCACATTGCTAGCCAAAAATTGTTACAAAGCTGTTGAAATTCATATAACCAACGACCTTTATGGACCGACAATGGTATACACTAGACAGGGTACACAACAAAATTCATGTACTAGAAATTAATTCGATGGCCATTGTAGCGTTGTTTTCAGTTAATACAGAGGGTATTGGTCCGCACATACATAACCAAAAATCCAGGTCCATCTTTGGCGCGAAAAGTTAGTCCAGGCTTCGAGGGACATGTTTTAAGAAAGTACAACAGTAAAACTAACTTAAGTTAACCTACGGAGACGATCACAGGGAAAAGGGCGATGGGTATGTAATCATATTCAGCTTCAAGTAAATACGGCCGGTATGAAGCGCTGCTTACAGAAATGGTACAAAAAGTACCAAAGCATGCTCCAACATGTCTAGGTTCCGAAACGTCGTTTTGAAACGTACTTCAATGACCTTTGACCCATTATACCGCCGGCGGTGCGGGGCTGGCAGGCGGCCTGGCGCTGATCTGCCAAGCTCCCGGCCCGGGTCGGGCTTCGACTGGAACAGTTCTGTTCACGGCCGCGCTTGGGGATTGATCCCGCTAATTGGCAGACAATGTACCGGCGTGTTTCACCGTGCATAACAATACTGCATAAATTACGGATTTTCTAAGAGTGTTGCACTTTAGTAGACCATAATGGTACATTGTAACAGCAACAGACATCTTCGGTTAAAATTTACACATGATTTTACTGGCTCACATGAAGATCTGATTTACCGAACGTCGAAAAAAAAATCACGTGGCTCTTCTTTGCTCACCAAAGAAACAAGTCAGACTATTCTTAAATAATATGTGCTTACTCGAGATTTGAATAAGATTTAAAGCGAGCTATTTTTTTTTCTGCAAAAATTCCAGCAAAGCATTATTTACGATTGCAAAAGTAAAACGACACAAACGTCCTTGACTCTAGTAACGCAAAGTAATGCAAATAAACAGCCAGGGACTTGATAAGATCGGGAATCTACATGTGTATGAAGCATTTATGTCCGGACATGTTACCGGTGCGTGATTCGAGTACGGTCTGATGGCATAGTACTGGTATAATGTGCTTGTTCCCAGTATATAAATTGTCATCTTTTTGCCAAAATCATTTTCTACAAACGACAGTGGCATCAATCTTAGAACAAAAATAAAAGCCCTCTTTTGCTGGGATCGTAATTTCATATACCCTTCAGCGTGACGCTGTCGGTAAAATTTACAGCAACAAAGGACCTCGGTTTGACCATGGACTTCTCTTTTAAACCTCCTTGGTTTGACGTATTTTTACAGAAAAAGTGAGTGTGGCAAAGGACAACATTAGGATAAGTAAAGTGCCGGGCTAGGTTGTGCCGCCTTTGATCTGAAACTCAGACCGCCCTGTCGGCGTTTGGGTCGGAGTTCATCAATCAATTTTGACAGGCTTGCGCCGCCACGCGCAGTGTCTATCGCGAGATTTGTGTGAATTTTGACTTTAATTATCGTCATTACTAGTCCATTCCTCAAGACTTCTGATTTGACTCAACATTCAAAACTACTGTTTTGATTACAGAGTTTTGGTGGATGCAATTAATCATGATATGTTTGTTCAATACTTATATTTCGCATACGAGTTTGAAAAAAATGCCTGTTGCCTTTCCTCCCCGTAAGCAAATGTGTATTCCGCTACCGAATTCTCCCGGTCAGTCCGCGTGGCTTCGCTGATCGGGGCACACGTCCTAGTGTGCTCTAAAACTGACGTTTTCAAAGTTTTCTTATCCTACCTTAGGCTTATCTGTAACATTAAATGTCTTGATTTTGACAAACGTCAGTAAAACCGGTACATACGTGGAACATAAAAACATGTATGAATATGCTTATTTCAGTACCGAAAACACGGGGATAGCTGAACATAATTGTTTACTTCGGCACGCTCTGTAGGCGGGACACTAATCAACTCATGACGCCCCCGTGCATATGAATGGATAACGCGACCGATCACTCGAGAAATAACGCGGGTGACGCGGAGCTACCTATGAGGCTCCGGCCACACAAACTGCGTTACCGTAACGCGGTATCGTCGCGATATCGTCGCGACGTTATCGCGCCGACGGCGCACCAGTATCGCGCCGCTAACGCAACCTCCGTCAAATGTAACGCAGACATGACTGTAGTGCGAACTACAACGTCCTGCTTATTCTACCTGGTACTCTAAAACTGCCATATATTAAAAAATGGTGAATTCAAAGCGTCAACAAAAATAAATAGGACTAAATCCTTTTCAAATGTACTTCATGGTAATGACAAAGAAAGGCAGTCAGGCTGGGGTCCCATCTGGTGTTTGGGTACAAGGTTAAATGATTGACTGATTGATCGCGATCCATCGATTGATTGGCATTTAACTGTCCCTACAGCTGCCACCACACCAGCGAGTGACACCAGCGGCCGGGGTGCGAGCCGACAGTTACAGAGTCGGGAGTCTACAAGAAGAGATCGCAGCGGGACGCCACTTAAAGGCTCATCCACGGGGAGAAGGTAAGATGCACGCTAATGGTGGCTATGAATAGATAAAAAGTACAGTGTGTATTCCATATCTTTGTGACAGTATTCACTAGCAGCCCATCATGGTCAATGATATGGAAATGTCAGTGATTATCAGCTGGGAGTATTGTTTTGGGTGGCTGAGCTGTGGGTTTGTGTGTGTGCTTGTACAAGCAGAGTAGGTTGACAGCACAAGGTGGGGGAAGCTTGACAGGCAAGATGGCAGAAGGCTAAAAGGTCAGACACTGGAAATGGCTCTAGCTGGTAGCCAGCAGTCTTGGTAGCAGAATTAAGGAAGCATGAGGGACCTTCCAATACTTTACACTGTAAGTCTGATATCTCCGATTTGTTGTTCCTTTTTTGTTGACTTGTTTATGAAGTTGTTTACCTGTGTTTGTTTACAGGCCTGGTGGTACCCCTGCCAGTGGTGCCGGCCCTCAGGACCAGCCAGAGTCAGATGAGGAGGAGGATAGTGAGGAGGTGAGTTTAGCAAGACGATGGTTTCTGCTTAGGCCACACGGACTGTCAGACACGGTGTATTCTGTATCACCTGAGGCACCAGCCTGACCTGCTTCACAGGAACAGGAGAAACAGATCTATAACTCATTCTTAAACCTCTCATTCCTTCCCTCCATCCCAGGAACCAGACCTGTTCTTCACAGACCCCCAGCAACTGCTGGACCTGTTCCAGGAGTTGGAGGAACAGAACCTGTCTCTCATCCAGAACAGCCAGGAGACGGAGGAGGCTCTGGAGGAGATGAGACAGACATTCATCCAGACGGAGGGCAAAATGTGAGAACACTAGTTTAACATGATGACAACACTCGTTAAACATGATGACATGGCACAACATGGCATTTAGCTGCAACCCCAGATCTTCACTGTAGTTTGGGTACAAAGAAGAACAAAGTCTAGCTATGATCTTCTATGCACATGGCAGTGAGGAGGATTTTGTATGGTATGGTAGATGTATATGTCAGCTTTTAGGACTGTATAAGTTGGATTATGATATTTGTTTGGTACATGTTTTAGGTGATCAGTGACATAGGCTTTGGATTCCTAGCTACTTGTAGGAACTGCAGGGGCATTTTTGTCAGAAACTTTGGAAGTGAAACTGTTACTTTATCCCTCCTTGTTCCATGGTACTGCATTGGAACTTCCTGTTTTCCTGTCTTTTTTGACCGCAGATAGGTTTATGGCTAGGGAAGAAGTCATATTACAGGTTTTAGCTGCCTAGCATGCTGTTGTGGAACTGCAGGGCCATGTTTATTGTGAATACATGTACCTGTTGCTGTTCCCAGGAACCGTGAGACAGAGATCCTGAAACAGCAGATCACCATGCTGAAGGACACCATCACCAGGGAGGAGGAGAAGGCGGCAGATCTGGAGATGAAGTCCAAGTAAGAACAACTCCGAACACTTGTAGTTCTTAAGCCATTATCTTGCGTAGGCTCCCAAGGTGGCCTTTTGATACCAAACTAGGCTAGGCAGCAGGTGACAGGGAAAAACAAAGACCTGAAGATGAACAAGTCAAAACAATCCCAACACTTGTATTTCTAACCAAGGTAGCCTTTTTCAATATACCAAACAAGGCCAGGTAGGGAGAAGGTTATTACAAAACTTGTCGTATTTTTATGTAAGATATTTACTGTTAAGTTATGGTGATAATGACTATCAATAGATAGATGCAATATACTGATACAGTCTTTTTTGGTTCAGACTTACAATTTGTACATCTGTATTCTCTGTATTTTCATGTGTTCCATAACATTTGTTATGATAATATATAAAATAATTGTACTCTTTTTAAACTACATATATATTATTACCATGTCTGTTGCAGGATGTTCTCATATGGTGAATTCAAAGCTGAGGACCAGGTCAGTATTTCTGTGTGACCTTAAATGTTGGCTTGTTGTTGTTGTGCTTGTCTTTGTTTGTATGTCATCATGTCCTGTCCTAACTAACTCTGCATGTTGTGTGCTTTTTTTCTCGCTGTGTTTGCTTCCTCCATGCTTACTAAACTCATGGATGTACAGGAGGATACTGGCGTATGTATACTGTTGCTTTGGTCATCTTCACTCACACTGTATATGTATTATAGGTGGCAAGGTGGTCTTGTTATTAAGCTATTTGCATTGCAATGTTATGTGTTTACATTGCATTTTATATTTTGTAAATTAATGTAGAAAATATTGTTTATTCAGGAGAAAATGTTGCAGTCACTCAACAAGAAGGTAGAAGAAGTGTACAGGGCATGTATAGGAGACAATGAGGCCAACATCAGGTAAGGGGTTAGGAAGTAGAGATTATTCAGACAATTACTCACAAACTTCCAAACATACAGCAATGACTTAACATGAAAATGCTTCATACAAGGCTTACTATCAACTGAAATGTTTGACTATTACCTATCATACTGTTACTGTATTTCAAAACCAACTGTCGTCTTCTATGACAGTACCCTACAGATGCTGACTAACATTGAGAACCGGCTGGAGGAACTGTTTGAGATCATCGAGATGATGCCTCCTGAGAGAGTGGAGGCAGCAGAGAGGGTAAGTACCTGTAAAATCATTTTTTTAAAAATGAAATATGTATGATAACCCCAAATCAGCAAATGCCTTATGGTACAATAGGCTAGGACTAGGAGCCATGAAGTCAACGTACCAGGGTGGTTTGTGCTTCAAACAATTTGAAAATTTAATTTCAAACTACCGCATTGTAGATGGAAAAACTAGACGTTCTTCAACAATTGTGGCTAAAATTGGAGTTAATTCAGAACCTGAATTTTTTCCAAGGACCAATAGATTAAATTTGTGTGATCTTAGGTCAAAGTTAAAGTCAAAAGCTGTAACATGTATCCCCCCCCCTCCAGGCTAAAGAGAAGGAGCGTCGTCTGCGTCTGCGTGAGGAGAAACTGGAGCAGCAGAGACTTCACCAGGAGGAGAGGGTCCGGCGCGCGCTGGAGAGGGCACAGGCTGACCCCAAGAAAAAGGTACGGCAACCAACAGGGTTTGTAAAGTCTGCAAAAGTCATAACATTCCAGGGCTTGAAATTGTTTTGTTTTTCTGCATACCTGCACAAATGAACTGGAGCTAGATGGATACCGTGGCTGAGGGATACAAGGTTGCAGCTATCTGAGACATTTTTAGAAAATGGTGCAAATCAAAACCCAGCTGCCATTTTGGGGCACAGGGAAGGTGGTGGTTGTCGTACTGTCCAATGGTATCAGATTTAACTCTTCAACCTCCCGACGGAATCCACACCTTTAGCGGGGGCGTAAGCTGGTGTTCCGCTCAAACCCCCCCATCAGGAGGAGTCGCCACCAGCGCGGGAAGTCACGGCTGGAACAGGAACTCGAGGAGTGGGAATATTTCTTCGGACCAGGCTGTTAAGAGCAAAACGTACTATTTGTGTCATGTACATGTATGCAGTACTAAAGTGGGATGTGTTATCTGTCACTAATGATGGCATGTGTAGGGTTGTGGGATAATTGTTTTGCCTTTGACTTCGAGCATGTTGCATTTGTGAGCAAAAAACTTTTCTCTCAATTTTGAGCAAAAACATAGAGATCAATTTGGCTTTTGTTGACTCTTTGTTCTGTGATGCCACAATGCAAATTTGCCAGCTGTAAAAGCTGAATATTTTTTGCCAAAAAGTTGAGTCAACAACAAAATATTATGTCAGCATGCTGGAGGTTTGGGGATTAAGATGAGCAAAGGACACATTAATTCTGTCTAGTGGGTCCTCAAACGGTTTGTGACTAAATGTGTTCTAACGTCTGTCTTCTATGTGAACAAGGTGGAATTTGGCAGTTTAAGGTTATCAGTTACATTAATGTAATGTGTGTCAGTACCAAGTAATCATAATGGGTGCAGCATTGTGACAGCAGCCATATTGGATGGTTAATATGTTAGGGCTGTCATGAATTCAAGGTGGAGAAATCACCAAAAAAACAGAACCGCCAGAAAAGTTCCCCAATTTACAGTAGATGGCAAAGAGAACAAGAAGTGACGAGGCATGTTTCTTCTCCCTACAGGGTGGCAGGAAGTTGGTGTTCAGATCAGAGCCCCCTAGGAGGAAAGCTAAGAAGGACAAGGCCCAGGAGAAGGCCACACGGGAAGAGGAGGAGCTGGCGTACTTCTTCACATAAACACAGCACAAATCATCACAAACTCTATGTTTGTTGACTATTATGTATTGTCAGAAATCAATTGGAGGAATCCAACAGGTCTTGGAGAGTTTGAAAGCCTTATCTCCAAGCAAATGTATCTGTAAGAATTTTACATGGCTCAGTGTTTTCCGTGACTGTGTTCTTGCGATATTACAGAAATACATTCTAAATGAAGCAAAAGCAAACACAGAGGTGTCATCTAAAGGGTTGGACTGCACATTGATATCCAAGGTACCAAAAGATGTTGTATGTATATTTTTTAGATCAAAATGGTTTCTTCTTTTTCTGATGTACAAAGTTTAAGTGCCTTGTTCACTTTTTAATGCATGAGTGAATGTAGAATTCTCATAGAAATATTATGAACTCACATATATTTTACATCATACATGGGCAAATGGATATCTTAGGTTTTGTAAAATGATATGAGGTACCAGGCCCTATGGCATATTTTGTCTTTTTTTTTTGTTGGCTGTATAAATTGTCCTTCTGACTTATAATGTTTGTCATTTTAAACCTAACATTTTAGGCTGGTGACACATTTGTATACAGAGGTTGTATATTTCTTGACTATCATATGACAAAATATCCGCTCTGGAAATTAATAGGCAAATGTTTATATAATTGTTGTCATTTTTCATTATAGTCCAGTGGTCTTAGCCATTGCAAATGACCAATTTCCAAGTGTTAACATTGTACACACAATAAATGGCTTTTCTGGTTACTGAACAGAAAACATGGCCTGAACTTTAGCCTTTAGCGTTAACGTTAGCCTCCCTCGCAGACTTCTGAGGTGGCGGCGTTAATTTTTTTCGGGGAGCGACGCGAGTTATGCCGAGTAGGGAAGGTTTTGCTGCCGAGGGACTTTGCCGGGAAGGACGGTTTCCGCGCATCAAGAATGAAACCATCTCTCCCCGTTAAAGTCCCGTCGGCGGCAAAACCGTCCCTCTGCGGCATACTGCAACTATCGTCGCTCCCCGAAAAAAAGTAACGCCGCCGCATAGAAGTCTGCGAAGGAGGCTAGTATCGCGTAGTCGGACGCCTGATTGCTACAAAAGCCTCCCCGATCCCCCCTTGTGTGATGACCGGGTTTTAGATAGTTTCCTGTAGTGCGGGGCGACCTTGTCCTCAAATGACCCGGCGGGACTGCTTTGGCTTTCCTGTTGAACTGCTGTAAGGTGTCTGTAAGAACTGTATGTCCGTAATCATAGATGGGCTAGCTCGGATCTCTTCGGGTCGTCAGAGTGTATCATTTCAGTTCTCTATTTACAAACCTAAAGCGAGGAGCACAACCCACAGTGCGTGTTTTTTGTCCGTGCGTTTTTTTTTTTTTTTTTGTGAGGCCACGTCCACCTACGTTTTTCTGAAAAGAAAACGTGGGGAAGGACTGGCAATAGCAGAGGGAGGGAGTACGTCAAAGCACGTCACTCACACGGTTATATAGTGTAAGTATGTGGTCTGCACGCCACGCCTGGTCATGAGCGGTTGAGTGCATTGTTCCGTTGCGCAAGTGGTGAGTTGTACGTGCTTACAACGTACGATCTCTGTACGCCTCTGTACGATTAACACATATATAAACCGCATGCAGGCCGTACTTACATATATAAACCGCATGCAGGCCGTACTTACATGTACACGTGCTGCTTTGTAATACGTACCGGAATGCGAGGGGGGGGGGTGAATCCGCAGCCCGAACGCAGAAAAAGTTTTGCATGCGCTGCGTGTCTGCGTGCTCCCAAATCCGTTGGATTCCGTACAAAGGCGGTTCTCACCAAAAATTTGCCCACGTTTTTGCACGTAGACAGCACGCAGTTGCACGTACGGCGGGTTGTTCCCCTCTTCGGCTGTCGCCCTGAAACTTGAGTTTTGTTGGGGCATGATTTTACCTCCATGGCAACATTAACTATTAGATATCTTTCCCCAATCCGTACGGTCGCCAAAGTGGCTTTTGTACAGCTTTTATCTTTGCCCCGAGTTGAACAGTTCAAGTTTGTCCACCCTCCCGAGACAGAGTCAGTCATCCAAAACAGTAAGGCTCTTTTGGATGCCGCGCCACTGACCCTGTCGGGAGGGAGTTTTTCTCACAAGGCCCCTTCCCTGGAACTCGGCATGACCTCAGTTCAGGTCAGCGCGGATGCCGGTCGGTGTTTCTTCCCTCCCACAGCAAACCGGAAACGGGTCACAGTCAACGGGACGATCGACGGACGGATAACGAGGACATGGTGGCGGATGATAAGGCCTTGACTTTGACCTTGACCAATACGTAACATCGAAGCGGGAGTTAGAAGAAGACGAAGTTTGTCCATAGCTAGGATCCATGCACAACCGGGCCGCCTTGACAGCTCCAAGATGGCGGACGTTAAGGGGGTTCTTAAGGCAGGTGACCAGACGTTCGATCATCAATGTCAACAGTACGAAGAGATTCGGCCTCTTCTGGGTGAGGACAGCAGACACAACTACGCCACGATCAATGCCGACAGCGTCCCAACAACCACAGACAAACCCCAATGCCGTGTGTACAAGCGGCGCTGGTACATTGTGGGGATATTTGCCTTGTTGGGGTCCATCCATTGCGCTATTGGGAACACTTGGGGCCCGATCGCCGACTCGGCCGGGAAGGTTCTGGGCTGGACAGACAGTAACATCGCGCTGGTCAACAACTGCGGCTGTTTCTCCTACGTTCTACTGGCCATCCCGTGCTCCTGGCTAATGGACGTCAAAGGTGAAGTGCTTGGCGTTACCTTGGACTTATATCCCTGTTTGTATTTTCTTTTATAGCTGAACTAGGCTGCCTGGACTTACTTTACTGAGGGCCTGCATGCCCTTTTTCGCCATAATGGGCTTTACTTCATACGGACCAGTTTATTTGGCGACCAAACATATACATAAGTTCGAAATCTAAAGACGAACCCAAATTAGAGGTTTGTTTGTAGGAGGTTTGGAGAAGTACGATGTACGGTATTAGTAATGTGAAACCTGCTCGCCTTGTTTTGGTCTGTGTGCAGTGACCTGTAAAGTCCAGACATCTGATACACATGGAAAACGTGGCAAACTAAACATGGCCTTGAAGCAAACTTGGCTTTGATCCCTTCTCTGGGTAATTGATACTGTCTTGCCACCGAAGGGATCTGCTTGGAGATTACGATTTGGCACCCTGGATCTAATTCCTCGCTACCGCTGGCGTGAAAGATAATGGGTATGGGCGTATACTCTTGTAGTGGACATTAGGGCTTCTCCCCCC